TCGACATCAGTCTGAACTGATGCGGTACTTGAGAAGTCCCGGTAATCACAGAAACACGGGGGGGTAGGGAGAGTGGGAACAGGGGTAGAACAATCAAGCAATATACCTACAATCCCCTGTCCCACTGATGGACTGTAGACACCTAATCAAACGAAAAAATAATTTCCGGTAAACCCTTTGAAAAATTCGTAATAAGGAATTTATAGCGAATTAATTAATGATAATTCACGAAATAAATCCGAATGATAATCGGTAAACAATGTTTGTAAATAAAGATCACCAATTAATAACGAATTTGAAGGGTATTATGATTAGGTCTCTTTGAGATCAATATGAGACCGGGAGTTCACCGTTTAATAAGTGGACTGCCCGGTAGTTGCAATTTAAGGTCAGATACGGCTTAGTGTGCTAAAAAAAATTTCGGAAAATTTCAGAAGAAAACGCTCGAATTTTCAAAAATGCGAATTTTCGAGACTTCCCACCATCAAAATCCGATTTTTAAAAGCCTAAACCTATTTTCGGATTTTCTCAAACAAGGAGAACGAAAAAAAAATTTCGTGAAAATTTTGGTCCCTACCCTAATTTCCGCGTTTCGGCGAAATTTCTGGAATTTCCGGTCCCAAAACGTTCGGATTTCCCCAAGTTGATCTAAAACCAAAAGGTTTTCATAACCCTAATTCCCATACTGAAAGACAACGGAAATCTCAACAGGAAAACGAAATATAGGATTTACAACAGAATGCCGAAAACGGAATGCTGAATGAATATCAGAAACCCGAATTTCAAACATGATACTGATTCAACCCTAATTACGAATACCTAATCAGAAATCCGAATCAAACAGAATGTTGGATTAGTGTCAATCTCTCGGATCTCCTTAAACAGCATACCGTGTATAACAGAAATCCGAATTTTAAAGTCCGAATACTGAATTGAAACGGAAATGCCGAAATAGCGAGAATACCGAAAAGAAAAAAAGAAAATTTGCAACTTTGAACTTGATAGTACTTCAGCGCCGATTTAGAAGATCAAACGTGATAATCTAATCTAAACGGTCTTACCTGGTGAGCAGATCCGTTTTGGTCTGCTCCGATACCAAAACTGTTACATACTTCAATGAGTTTGGGCAGAACCAAAGATCAACCAATATAGGATGAGCATTTATGCAGCGGAAGTCTGATAACGAACTGACTCACATAGACTGACTCACATAGACTGACCTACATGGCATCACTCCACACACATACAATCATGAGATGGTGGGGTCTGGGTCATGTATAGACGATACCCAGATCCCGTACACACATACACAGATGAAAGGTGGGAGGAGAGACGAAGGAGGTAGGAGGTAGATCACACGGATAGGTCACAAGATAGAGTCCGGTAGGTCTCCGAAATAGTAGTCCAGAATGTCATATAACAAGATCAAGATGTCGAGGACCAAAGGTCACCAATGTCGGAGATAACCGAGTCCAGATGTAACCGGTGTCCAACTGTGATGCAGCCGAGTATCAACCTCAACAATCTCCAAGTCTCCAATCAGGTAAGTACCACAGTCTCGTATCACCGAAGTCCAACCCTGATCTCTGTCCAACTGGATAGTCTCCAATCTGAAGAAGAAGAAGAAGAAGAAGAGGAGAGAGAGAGAGAGGGGACTGGCGAGGGAGAGGAGGAGAGATCCTCCAAGCTCCCGGTACCTCAGGCGGTGAGAACCGCCGTGTAACTCAGTCGCCCGCTGCTGCTCCGCACGCTGCTGCGCTATGCTGCGCTCCTGCTCCAGCCCCTGCGCTAAGTTTAGCGCATCAAAACAGCGCTCTGGCGCTGACCATACCGTACCGGTACAATGCTGGTAGGTCGATGCCTCAACTGAGGCAGGTACCGGTACTTATACCGGTAGGCAATGGTCTGGCCTCAATGCTGCGAGGCCAGGCCAGACCCTGGACCGTCCAGATGGACATTTCAGCCTCAATCGGCGGGCGGCAGCTTCAAGAGCGCCGCCAGGCCCAAACGAAGTGTCGTTTGGGCCTACCCGATGGGTGCTGGTCCAAAATCAGGCCTTTAGGRCCTGTAACCCAAAAAGGTCGGGCCTTTAGGCCCTGGTGTGTCCCTCCGGCCCTAAGTCGGGTCCGGTAGGACCCGTGTGAGTCGAAGATGTAACATTTCCCCACTGCAGCCCTCAAAGTCATGGGCACAGGTAAGTACCAGCAGCGCGGGCCTTGCAACACAAAAAGTGCCCTGTCGGGCCACACACCCACTCAGGCAGATGTGCAGTCAGACAGGCACACGGACCAGCAAGCAACCCCACACACACAGACTTAGAAAACTCAGCAGAACGCGGGAATCTCGGCAAGGCATACATTCCAGCGGCAAAACCCGGAAATCAGGAGTGTTCTCAGCTGTGTTTTCGCGGGTCATTACATTAATACCAATGCATAATATATAATTATAATAACAAAAATTGGACGGAGCAGGTCAGAATTGTGACTTTGCTTGGCGAACTTAGGCATCAGACCAAAGAGTGCATAAATGGATCTGGCAGATAGCAAGACATAACCCATTGCATCCTTCCGAACTCACGATGACGAAAATGCTCGAGGAAGAAGATCCATGAACACCAGAATTGAGAACTGCTGAAAAAAGAGAATTGAGTACTGCACAATTATAGCCCCTCTGAATTCAACTACTTGCGTCCACTCCAACTGCTTTTTACTGAGCTTAAAGTTTAAACTTTTTAAGTTTTTAACTTTTTACTAACTTTTTAGACTATTTGAACTTTTTTCTTTCCCTTTGAATATCTGTTCAGAAATGAAGGGGTGTCAGGCTTGTTAAACTATGTGTGTTTTTAAACTTTTTTTCAGTGACATCTGTTCTTTCCCTTTGAATATCTGTTCAGAAAAGAAGGGGTGTCACCGTGTCAGGCTTGTTTTTTTTTTTCTTCCATTTCTCGATTTATGTGTGTCATCCTTGCGCAGGGGCCATGGTAATCTTCCTTCTCTGTATCGTTCCAATTTTAACGGATGTCCCGAAGGACTGTGTCAGGCTTGTTAAGCTATGTGTTTTTTTATTTTTTTTCAAATTTTCAGTAACATGTGTTCAGAGAACAGGGGTGTCAGCCTTGTTAAACTCAGTTTTTCTTTTCCTCTGAATTCTGTTCAGAAAAGAAGAAGGGGTGTTGGGGGTCACTGTTAGGCTGTGTTAGCCCCTAATCTCAATGCATCGAACAAGATTCAAAACTCAGGATCTGTTCATTGACACTTATTTGTACACCATTGGGCGAGCAGAGCCAGGATGCGCGCTGTGTTGCTCTACCGACAGAACAGGTGAACTGTGTTGTTTCCCTCCCCGCCGCTAACCAGAGACCATCATCAGTGGTTTGGTTGCCCCTGGTAAATTAATCTCCAGGAGGTTTTGGTTGTCTGAAGGAAGATCTGGAGGGCAAGCCAGAGGGGAAGAAGATGGGCAATAGGATGAAGAAGCGGGAGGAAACTGAAGGAAGGGGGGGAAGGAGGAGGAGAAAGAGGAGAAAATGGGCAATATGACGAAGAAGAGGGAGGAAACTGAAAGAAGGGGGGAAGGAGGAGGAGAAAGAGGACAAGATGGGGAATAGGACGAAGAAGAGGGAGGAAACTGAATGAAGGAGGGGAAGAGTAGGAGAAAGAGGAGGCAGTAAAGGAGCTGGAGGAGGAGCCAGAGAACATGGCACGCAAGGAGGGTGGAGTTGGAGTAGGAGGAGGTGGTGGTGGTGGAGGAGGAGGAGGAGGAGGAGGAGGAGGAGAGGAAAATGCACGGTAGTGACATAGAAACCCATGGTTACCTGGAGGACGTCGAGATCTTCCTTGGAAGCTGTGAGATCTGCCAGTAGAGCTCCCTCCTGCTCCAGGAGCACCGGTATAGGAGCATACATGTTAACGCGTAAAACAACAACAAAAAAAAAAAGTACCAAAAGAATTCCTACTTGGATCTGCAGTAGAGATGTCTGATGCACTTCGTGCCTTAGACCACGTGGTGATATATTTATTGCACACTTGCGACAGCACCGTGTGCCATCCCATGTGGCGCGTGTGCACCGTACCAGCAGCAGTTTCCCTTTTTTGAAGTTTTTTTTTCTCTATTTTGGTATATACAGAAGAGTGCACCGCCTAAGGAACAGATCCTTTTCAAGTACAGTAGAGATTTTTCTTTCCAATCAACCGTGAGAAATAGCCTCAAATCGGTGTCTGGCACATCAGTCTTGACCTTTAGGTAGCGACATTACTCTCCCACTAGTCTGACAACACATTTTCAAAGGGGACACTGGTGACCACTGACCCAGACATGGAAATTCTTTTTTTTCTCTGGGTGAATATTTTCCCTCGTGCGCCAAACATGCCCTGCGTCGCACTGTGCGGGTCCGCTTGCGCACCGTACGTGTGCAATTTTCCGCACAGCGTGCGCTTGCATGTATGATTTATTGGATTCAAATTTAAAAATTATTAATTAAAAGTTTGTTGATGCCTTTATCGATTAGCCTGTCTCTAGTTTACTGATGATTTTATCAACTAACTTTAGTCTGGATTTTACTATCAAACTTTCTTCGCTGACTTCACCCTACGTCTTAAAGGTAATATGGTGTGAAAAGCTAGCTTAGGCTGCATGAAAGTTAAGCCCTGAATAAAGGGTAGTTTCGTAAGGATGCATGAAAGCTAGCCATCCATTTTTCAAAAAATTAAGTCTGTTTTATCAATTGGTCTGTAAAGCCAGCGTAGACTTGAAGAAATTTGGTTAGCTTATTACAAAGTTATCAATTGGTTCAGCTCAGTTGGTAGAGCACAGAAGTGGTATTCACGAGGTCGTGGGTTCGATCGCCCATGTCCTCCGTTCGATTCCCCGCCGCGCCCTGTGGCGCGCTTTGGGTTGGTTCACCAGCTGAGATAGTTGGCTTGCCGCCCCGGCCTCCCCACTGGCTGGTCTTGGCAGAGACTATGCAACTCCGGCCGTCCCTCGCTAGGGGTTACGAGCCTAGGCACTACTCCCTCCACAGAGTGGAGTGGATAGACGTCAGTCCCTCTTCAGTGCATAGCTGTTCGCCTTCGGTGCATAGATGTGAAGGCCTCTGTTCGCCTTCAGTGCATAGCTGTTCGCCTTCAGTGCAATAATCATAACCATCCCTTCTACAACTGTACTGCATGTCCAGAAGAAATACCATGTCAAGTTGTGAACATGTGAGTATGACTGTCCTAACTTTAAACGTTGACTGAGGTATTGTGTCAGTAGACTCAGTACCTTTGAGAGAACGATTCAGCAGTTGCAACAAATTGACCGTGATTGTGTAGGATGCAGGAGCAAAACTGTGCCACTGGGAGAGAGAGAGAGAGAGAGGAAATGGAGAGGAAGTGGAGAGGAAAGGTGTGGAGGGGGGGAGAATAGTAAATACTCAGGGTGAACATGTGATATATAATTGAGATATGCTGATAATTCCGGTTCAGGTTTTTGCAGCACAGCTGTTTGGGTCAGCATGAGTTCAATTTTCAGTGACTGAAACGGATCGGATGTTTGCTTGCCAGCATGTTTTGCTAGCCGAAAAACAAAAAATCTTATCTACAACATAACTAAGGTTCTGTCACTTCCGTGCACATTTGCCAAATCTGATCGGGTGTTTCTCTCCTTGGACCACAGATTGTGCATATCTCTGAAATGGTGTTGTGACTTTTGTCTGTAGCAATCTTTGGATCTTAAAAAGTTAAAAACACACGTTTTATCATCCTGTTTGGGTGCAGATGAATCGACCTCTACCTGCTGATCCATCTGGTGGGTGGCTTTCACAGATGGCAATGGCATTGTCACATCTACTCAGTCAATACAGAAAAGGAATGAGAAAAGAGGTCAACTGCTGGCAAGCACTGCTTTGCACCCAAAGCAGCCCCTCGTAATGCATGCAATTTCTGGAATCTACTAAAATAGGTTTTAATCAGGGTATAAACTTAAGTAAAGCCTTGCCAGGAGAGAACTGTGGGCCAAAAAGTCCAGGCTTCGGTTCCAAGCGCTGACACAACAACCTAAGCTTCCCATTGGAAACACGAAAGCTAACGGCACTACCTTCTTCACCCGAATACCACGTACATCGTACGATCATTATTGCTGTATTTAGACTGTAAGATACCCCAAATACAGCTAGAAAATTACCGTACATTGCCTTCGGGTGAAGAAGGTATTTCTCACAGCCACCAATGGGCTCCACTCTTTGCAAGTTATACAACCTAACTAGTCAATGGCGTCCATAGAAACACATCGGGAGAATGCCAGGAGGCACCATAGGTGTTTCTTTAACTAGTGCAAGTAACAACCTACCTACCCAAAAATGGCCTATACTGATGAGCGCCTATCTGTATTTAGCGTCTGACCATCTATAGCTGTAACTTGGGCAATACTGACTGCAAAATAGCATATGGTATACACTATATAGTACATACGTTACGCTATTGTACTTATGGTAGACCACTTTAAACCACCAGTGCATGCCCCTAGGCAACTGGGGGACCTGTTTTGAACCTCTCCGGAAATTTAGGAGGCCGAGCGCCGTAGATAAAATGCATCGGCGGCGGGCAGCCTCCGAAAGGGGCCCGCGGCCAATAGCTGGCATGTACTGGTGCTTCAACACTACACTACTGTCTTCCCCTGAATAGAACGTAAAGTCGTTATCGCCATATCCGGACTCAAAGTTGCACCCCATACAGCTCTGCAAGTGCACAGCAAATCTGCCCAGCAAAGACAGAGCATGCATGAGAATGGTAGGGCATAGACTCCTTCTCTGCAAGTGCACAAGAGAGCATTTTTCACAATGAGTATGGCTCCACCTGGTAATTGAGGCTTACGTGACGGCTTTTGTGAAGTCCGCACTTGAAAGTTTGACAAGCAAAAGCAGTAAAACCTTTTTTGTTCTTCTGATTTTGTTTTGACCTTAAGGGTGTGATGTTCCTTTATCTACCTTTTCCCTGTACTTCTTGGTCTCAAGCTCTTCCATAGTGCGGAAGTCGTCTTCCAGCTTCTTTGCAGCTGCCAGAGCCAGGGCCTTCACATTTTCTATTTCATCTGTTGCCAGACAGCAAGGGACAAAACCATACACGTCGTATTACACGATATATTTGATAATGCAAAAAATAAAAAAATCACAGCCAGCATCTAGTAGCAACCTCGGGTCCACGATGAGAAACAGTGAAACCGCCACCACCATCATCTGCGCTGCTGTTTGAATTCAGTTCACGATTTGGATCAGTTTCGCAGGAACCGGAGCAAACTCACCCTAGGACTTATCGGGGTGCACCTGACCACAATTTCCGCCCGTCCGGGATGAATCTGACCGCCATTCCGTCCAGAAATCAGTCAAAAAAGTCTTGTTGTGAGTATGCCCTCAGTCTGTTTAGGATTGTGTTGAAATACCCACCTCATCATCAGTGCCTCTGTCACTTGCTGATGAGCTGGTTAATTTACCAACACTTTTGGCAAATAGGCTTGTTGCTGGTTCTCTTTGTGACCTTCTGGTTGACATGCTCTAAGCTCACATCATCTAAGGGACTCCGCATGGATGCAATTCAGACTGGGCACGCACACAGAGACGGCATGGCAGACGTATTTGCCTGCAACTGCGTCCATATTATTTGGTGGAAGAAGTTCTAGACTCTAGATAGAGTATGTTCACAGCCAGTCAGGCTATGATATCTGTGTTGTTATGGTTGCGAGACCCTCGTCTGATTTCCTGGATCCCTTCCCACCCCACCCCCTCGCCCTGGTGGAAGCCATTGTGTGACAGCGCAGCAAGTCCCGGTGCCCCCCGGGAGGTGCTGGCTGATCGCTTCTCAGCAACTCAGGCAAACCTCAGACCCCTCAGATTCCAAAGAGAGGTAGGAGGCCAGGTGGGCAGGTATGGTGAGGCGCCTTGCAGCAGGGCAAAGAGGCCTCCTTTCTTCTCAACCCTTCACTTACAACCTGCATCCTGCTCAGTTAATCCCCTGCGAGCCAGGGCAATCAATGCTGGCAGGCAAACATTTGATGTGATACTTTGGACGTATAATGGGACGCTGGACCCGGTTTCCAGCAGGTGCGGCTCCCCACCAACAGATAGGAGCTTTTTGTTCAAAAGAAAAAAACAGGTAGACTAATTTCCGCTGAAATAAGAAAAAAGTTAAAAAAACATGTTAAATAACTTAAATAAGTTAAATTTGCCTCCGTCCCTGCATGGTCCCAAAGATTGACCAGCATTAGTTTGAAAGAATCACTCTACAGTCAGAGGGACCAGCATTAACATCACTTCTGAAAAAAGAAAAAAAAGAAAAGGAGAAAAACTTAGAAACGAAGGATGGCCACTGATGATGGCCCTTAGCCTACGTCTCAACACACTGTGCCCCACACAGATGTGGCAATGAGCATCTGGTTCAATGGTCTACAGTCTTCCCCCGAACAAAACGCACATGCATTATTTACGAATAAAACACATGGAGTGAATTGTATTCGTATACAACGCACATGCGTTATACTACGGATATACGATATCAACTTCTGGAAATGCCCACCCCCCCTCTCCAGTCTTCCCGCGAATAGGACCTTCAGGTAAGGCGGGAGAGAGAGACAGACAGAGAGAGAGAGAGAGAGAGAGAGAGAGAGAGAGAGAGAGAGAGAGAGAGAGAGAGAGAGAGAGAGAGAG